ATACCCTTTTTTTTTCTTAATAGACAGAGTGCATTTTCCTTTCTTATAATTAAATACAGTAATACTAACTAATTGGTGTACTGAATAAAATTCTGTGTACAAAATACACAAACGTCTGCATATTTCTAGCGATATACTTCCTGATTTTCCTTTGGATTCAGGGATTTTGAGGGTGCAGCAACAAAATCAAGCAGAGCAACTGTCAGAAGAGTGCATCAGGCACAAAAGCCTACATCTTACAATGAAAATAACAGATAAAGCAGGCCGAGCAGCAATGTGGCCACAAGTGACATTATGGAAAATTATTCAGTTCAGTTCAGATGTTTATTGTCTCTCTAAGGTAAATGTGATTTACAGTAGAGGGCAAAACACAACATACAACATGAGACATTAATCACAACAGTTCCAATGCACAGCATCTGTTCATTAAAAGTATCAAACCATTGGAAAGGTAGCCATGATAAAGAGTTTTTCTCTAGCTGAGCTGACTACCTGCTGGCACACACAATAATATTAATAATAATAATAATAATAATAATAATAATAATAATAAGAGCACTTTTAAAATCAATGTTACAAAGTGTTTCATAAAATCATGAAATCATCAATTTAAAGAGAATTTAAACCAGGTGAAATAAGAAAAACATTCTACAACATACTTCTGAAAATTAAAATTCAAGTAAAATCAGGATACTCTCAGATAAAAGATATCTTTATAATGAATGGCATAACAGTGACTCTCACTTATGATTGTGTGTAGGAAAACATCCGTTTGGGCCCCAGGAGGTCACGTGATAAGCAAATTCCAAGTAGCTCCAAGTTCTGAGCTCACAAGCTTAGTGTGTGTGTGTGTGTGTGTGTGTGTGTGTGTGTGTGTGTGTGTGTGTGTGTGTGTGTGTGTGTGTGTGTGTGTGTGTGTGTGTGTGTGTGTGTGAGTGAGAGTGAGAGTGAGAGTGAGTGAATGTGTGTTTCTGACCCCTTTGGCTACTGTGTAAGGCGTCATTGGCATCCCTCTTTCACCCTCTACAGAAGGCAGTGGCTGTGAACTCTGACCCCCCACCCCCGCCACAAACACACACACACACACACACACACACACACAAACCTCTTTCACCAGCAGAAGGTTGCATTGCTGTTCTCCACATGCCCGCCTCTCACCCACCCAACCCCCCACACGTCCTCATCCTCCACCACCACCTCACCTACCCCTGGTGTTGGCAAAGGCATCTGGGTGTGTGTGTGTGCGTGTTTGTGTGTGTGTGTCAGGCGGGCTGCTGCGTGGTGAGCGTGCCCTCTGTCATTCACGCAGAGCAGCCCTGTCCAACTGTCACTTCCTGACAGGCCGATAATCAATCTCTTTATTAACTGCTCTGCTGCAGACTGCCACCACTGGGGGGGGGGGTTGAACAGAAAGGAGGGAGGGAGGAGAAAAGAGAAGAGCAGGCTGCAGCTCAGAAAGTTCAGTTTGTTCTTTGTTAAGGCAAAAGGTTCATTTTTAAGGCAGCTGGGGGGGGGTTTCCTTTTATTTTGAAAGGCTATACAGCACTTAATGACACAAAAAAAAATCTGTGTTACTTATTGTTAATGACAGAAAGGGAGTATGGGAGTGTTTCTCAACATGAGGGTCAGGACAGCCACAGAGGTTGCAGAATAAATTCTTAGGATCACAGTATTATTTTTTGTTATTTAACTTTAGTTTCTAAAAATGTTTCAAAATAAAATATAATAATTTATTATATTTATTATATTTGATTCACTTTAAGGCTACACAAGCCAAAAAGGCTTGTGTATATGTGGTATTTTGTCTTTTTTTGGGGGGGGGGGTTATTTCATGTGTTTATGTTGTTATGTAGGTTGTTTGTGATGTTGGTTGTTTAGCTTGTTTGTTTGGTTAAATCCAAGTAGAAGCTGTGGACCCTCTAATAGCCACTAGGTGGTGGTTTTAATACAGACTGTATTCATTCTATATTAAAAAAAAAACATCTTCTTTCCTGAAATATAGTAAAAAGTGAATAGTTTAAGACAACCTAGGGGTTCTGACCCTCACTAGGGGTCACCAAAGCCTCACTGAGAGTCATGAGGCCTTCTTGATTTTAAGGGGTGTAAGAAAACTTAGTAGGGCATTTCAGCATTTCATTCATTTCTGTGAAGAAAACTGAATGACATTGTTCTTTTTAAAGTTTAGATTACTATTTAAGCTTTAAACAGGATAACTGCACAGTGACGATCTGAACACAAGCTATATTCACAGAGCCTTCAAAGCCTCATCCTGCATTAGAAAAGTTAAAACAACCGAAGAGCTAATAGAACAATGAGAGAAAAACACTGAATTTGTCAAAAAAAAAAAGTATGTATGATTGATTATTTGAACAGAGTATTGTATAAAAAGTTCCTAAAATTATCAGGAAAATAATCTTTCATCCAAATCTCTGGTTTTACACAAACCTCCTGCAGTTATTGTATTCATTGTTTGTATTCACTGTTTGTTTTTATCAGTTGTTCTCTACTGTTATTGTTATGCATTGAATATAATATGAAATATACATACAATATGTCATTCTGTCAGTTTACTCAGTGATAGAATGTGCACACATTCGCCATAACAACCTGCAGTTACACTATGTTAGTATTGTTTTTTGTTTCTGGCCACCTGATTAAGTCCAATATTCAGTCACCTTTCAGCTTTTTTCCCTGGTTAGCCTCAAGATTTTCCACATTTTTTCCCAACAGGCAGCAGGTAGCTTCTGTGTGTCGTTAATCATAGTTGCCATTTTATTTCACTTCTCATTTCATTCACTCTGACATTGTGTTAATGTTAGCCTATTTTTTTTTTTTTTTTTACTTTTGCCCTAACCAGTAAGTGACCAACCTTTTTTTTTTTTTTTGGTCGACATTTAGGCTATACCTGAATGTAATATTGTCAGGCAGATGCCCTACACATCTCATCAATAGAGAACACAATAGAGAACTACGTTTGTAAAAAAAAAAAAAAAAAAGCAGCATTAAACACCAGTTTTCATAGCAAATCAACAATATTTCAGTCACACTGAACAGTTTTTAGGTTGATTTCATACCATGGATGTGATCAGACGTGTAACATAATTCTGTTATTGAAACTACCAGGGTGTACCAGTTGCTGCATTTATGTTCTTCCTTTTTGGCAAGTACATTGATGGTAATTGTAAAAAATAGCATACAACACTAATCTGATTTGAATAAAAGAATGACATCTGACTGAACAGTAGCCTATTGGCAAATATGGTGCATGCTTTTTTGTAATGTAACATGTTACTAATGAGCCGCTGGTCACACCCATGCTTTGGCGATCCTTATAGACCAAAACTAGCATGCAGCAAAACCATGCTTACTGACGAAAAACAGATGGATTTTAGCTCCACAACAGCTCTCAAAAATGCTTCTGTATCTTCATTTTTACTTATTCTGTGAGGTTTCCCAGCATTCTCTGCCACGTAGATGAATTGTGGCATTTAAGTAGCAAGAGAAAACAGTAAACATTGCAACTGTTACATGTTACATTTAAGCTCTCCACCAGATCCATTTGAATTGCTCAACACATGGGGTGGTGATTCAGATGCTTGGAACCAGCGCACTGTCTGTCTCCTGGAGTGAGACTGGGTTGTCCAGGCACAACTGTAAACATAGGACAATGAAAAGGAATTATCTTATTGGTGGAAAAGTGAAGTTGGACCCTGGCACCTCCTTTCTGGTCACCTCTGTATGATCGCCTATTCTGAAACAGTGACCATGTCAAATGGCAAAAGTATAATGTATCTGGTCCATCGACATATATAAAGATGGATGACATGACAGCTCTCCTAAAGTGAACCCAAAACATCTATATCGCCCCCTGGTGGTTGACTGCAGTACAGGTCATAAAGCCTGTTTCCTCCATGTTAGCAAATTGGACATGGGCCAAACTAAAAAATCAAAATACACAAAGATGGTTTTCGTCATTTTAGGTATATCTTATTACACTAATGTATGTTCAAGTGTTCATTTTACTGATAAGTTTGGTTTTAATTAGTTATGTGAAGCTATAAAAAGGGGGTTTTATGTCATAATTGACAGCTGAGCCTTACTATTGGCTGAGCCTTACTATTAGTATTGGCTGGGTGTATGGGTGGGACATCGATACCACTGCGCCAACCCCAACCACTACTGCGCAGACTCTGGCTCCAAGTGGCCAAATATGCAGGATATTTTGGCTTCATTTTTGTACAGTTGGAAGAAGTGGAAATGGCCATCTTTCATATGTCAATGATGTGGTCCTTAAATAACAGCAATAGTTAAAGATGTTGTTCCCTTGACAACTGTTGCTATTTAGTTTTTCATGACAATACAGGACAGCTTTTGCTCACAAACAGTGGTTATTGTTATCGGACACTCTGCGTTAGCCAATTGTTCTACTTCCGAATAGACCTTTTTCACAGCAGCCATTAAATAATAGGGTAAATACAGCTGTTACTGGTTATACTAATTAAGGCTTCATTCCATTTAGTGTAGCAGAGCCTTTCCAGTGAGCCAGCATGCACCTGACTCTGTTTGACCTGAATGGAACAACCTTAATTGGTAACACCTGTGTTTACCCTACTATTTCATCTCAAATGGCTGCTGTGAAATAGGTCTATTGACTGCATCTTTCCTCTAACATAACATTAACACAGACTCAAATACAATAAAAAATTTCCAGGGTAAAATAGATTATTTCCAGGATATTTGATCATTTTAATCAGTTTCCATGTGGAAAACTAGTCTCTAAACTTCCAGATTTTCCAGGTTTTCCAGAATGCGTGGCAACTGATTTTACAGAAAGTTTTACCTGGTCAGGGGGGCCTCTTCCACAAATCAAGGATCAAGGTTTTTTTCATCATTGATCATCAAAGCAAACAAAAGGAAATGTTTATTTTATTTGTGTGGGATGTACTTGTGTGTCAATCCCGATGAATTTCACTGGTTGTGTTTCTGTGTGTGATCCACAGGATGAGCTTCTGATGGAGACTCAGACAAGACTGCAGGCAGAGATCATCCAGCGCAATGCCAGCCACCCCCCACTCGCCACGGACACATCAGAGATGTTACCCACCGAGGCCGACGGACAAGCTGACAGCACGACTACAGCCTGAGACTGCGCGCACGTGGAGCACACAGAGGAGGAGAAATAGCTAACCTTGTACAGATCACCTCAGAAAGCACTCATGGATTCAGTCACACAGACACCCAGTGTGTCCCAGTGTCCCAAACCCAAACAGCTGACTAGCAGATATATGCGAATAATAATTCTATCGCAAATAATGATAACCATAAAACTCCAAATCTGGGTAATAAAGGCGGAGTAGAGCTCCCTAATGAAACGCCGGCCTCCCCGCTGCTTCCTGCCTAATGTTCCCGCCGAGCCGCTCGCCACTTTCCATAAAGCAATTTTGCAAGCCCACTTCAAACGTGAATCACCTAGAAATGAAGAGAACTGCCCTCCCCCCCTTTGCCCCCACACCCGTCTGAACTCCCCCACCATCACCCCCTCCCCTTCACTACAATACTCACACTAGAGCTCTAAGTGTGTTTGTGTGTGTGTGTGTGTGTGTGTGTGTGTGTGTGCGTCTGCGTTGCAAATCCCTGTTTGCTTGTGTTCCATCATCACTTAATGTTCACAGTGATGCATTGCGGGACTCTCCTCAGAGGTGTATGTGTGTGTGTGTGTGTGTGTGTGTATAGGGATGTAGTGTCATTACTCTGACATTGGTAGCAGCCATGGTCTGAGCCAAGTTCTATCTGCATTAATCAGCTGAGAAGCGCAGGCAGGCAGACGTTCAACAGCAATACAATGTGAAACAGCTACAGAAGTCTGCATGGTTTTACCAAGTGCACAAAGGATGATTTCTGTTTTTACATATTTTCAGTCATTGAGTGCTTTTTCAGGATTCCTACTCTTTTTAAGAAATTATTTTCCAGGAGTTTTTCCAGGAGTTTTCTTCATAGTTGACAGCAGTTGCGTCATATAATTTACCAGAGGTCTCTGTCAGTGGTCAGCGTTGATGGGACTGTCTGCGTTAGCTCGCTTTTTGTGGCACCCTGTCACAGCATTTTACTGACATTGTAGTCTGAACTGGCATTAAAGATAATTAAAGATGTATGAGCTGCCTACTTTTCTGATTGTTAGCAATACACATAACCCAAGGTTTTTGTTTACTACTATTAACCAGCTTGTAACTCCATCTCCTCCTGCTATTCATGCCTCCTCTCCTGCTGACTGTGAAAAATTCCTGTCTTTTTTCATTGGCAAGATCGATGGTCTAAGGTCTCATTTTCCCCTCACTGTTCTTCCCCCTGAAACATTCAGTCGTCCTATTTTAATGTTTACTGGTTACTATTTTTCTCCTATTTGCCAGTGTTCAGCCACTTCCTAAAAAACCCTCTCTCAATCCAGACCAGTTTGAAAGCTATAGAGCAATCTTCAAACTTCCCTTTTTATTTAAAATACTCAAAAAAAAACTTGTTGCATGCCAGCTTCTGAAGCTCGTAGAGGGTCATAAAATCTTTGTCATATTTCAATCTGGTTTTCGCCAAAAGCATAGCACTGAGACAGCATTACTAAGAGCGTATAATGACACTTTCATGCATGCTGACAAAGGTGAAAGCTCCATCCTTATTCTTCCCGATCCAACTGCTGCCTTTGAAACCATTGATCACCAAAGACTGGTTGTCTCTTAATTTTCTTCACCTAAATCCTGATAAAACTGAGATAATTTTATTTTGACCTGAAACCTTTTTTTCACTGCAGTGGATCAGTTTATTTGACCATTACGCACACATATCAAACCCACTCTTAGGAATCTTGGTATCATTTTTGACCAGTATATGACATTTGACCATCATGTTACAAAACTTCCAGTCCTGTTTCCTGCAGCTACGAAATATTACAAAAAATTACTACTTGTCCTCCAGAGATCTCTAACTATTGATTCACACCTTCATTTTCTCCCATCTAGATTACTGCAGCTGTGGTTCAGAGGCAGAGTGGGTTGTCCACTAATTGAAAGTTTGTGGGTTCGATCCCCGGCTCCTCCCGCCACGTTTCAAAGTATCCTTGAGCACAGTACTGAATCCTGAATTGCTCCCGATGCTGGGCATCGGTGTGTGAATGTGTATGAATACGTTAGCTTCTGTTTGATGGGCTTTGCCATCACTGTGTGAATGTGCCATGTAGTGTAAAAGCACTTTGAGTGGTCAGAAGACTAGAAAGGCGCTATACAAGCACAGGTCCATTTACTATTTACCATTACTGTAATTCCCTCTACATGTGTTAGTCCAAAATGCAGCCACCAGACTTTTAACAGGACCAGCCTTCAGTCCCACATTACTCATGTCCTTGCATCCCTCCATTGGCTTCCTGTAAAATTCTGAATCAACTGTAAGATCTTAATGATTACATTCACTACTTCAAGATCTTGCCCCCAGTTACATTTCAGATCTCTTTGTTCCTCATTCCACTCCTCAGCCAATTCGCTCCTCAAATCTCTGCCTTTTATCCATTCCCCGCTCTAACTGTAAAACTAAAGGTGACCTTTGCAGTTTTAGCCCCAACATTGGAATAGGAATAGTCAGTTAGATTTGCTGAATCCATGAACTGTTTTAAGCGGCTCCTCAAAACCCACCTCTACAGGCAAGCCTTTTATAGATCTCCTTCTTATTTGTTTACTTATCGCTGTCGTCTCTCTTTTTTAATTTATTCTTTTCCTCTTTATCTTCCATATGTTTGTATCTATATGTTCCCTATGTATGTATATGATTGGGTATGGTTATGTATGTACACATTTATATGTATATATGCATATATATATCATATATGTATATTATTTGTTTGTTTGTGAAGCACTTTGTAACTGTGTGTAAAAAAGTTCTATATAAATAAAGCTTTACTTACTTACTTACTTACTATAATTTTGTGTAGGCTGCAAACTCACAATTATGTTGGGTCACCACATCGATGCAGAAACTTCCAGGAGCGTACATATGTTCCCCGGGTTCTATGTTCGCCGCTTTGTATGGGACCGGGGAACCCTAACCCTAACCCTAACCTTAGCGGCGAACATAGGACCCGGGGGAATATAGGGATGACCCCAAACTTCCAAGTCTGCATCACGATGGATTTTACAATTGAGAAATTTCTACACCTCTATTGGCATGAGATTGGGCTGCAAGTGTTTTATTACCTACCAATATTCAGAAAAAAATCTATGAAAATACCCACAAAATGTAGGAATTAATTTGTATGCACAGGTTAAGATCAAGTGAGGCTCATTACTTGTACACAGCTAGTGCTGTATAGTAACTTCATTGCCTCCATTAATAATAACTGTGCTACTGACATGCAGAGTGTGTGTGTGTGATGTGGGTTCTGCTTGCAGTCCCTGTAGAATTCTACTTCCTGCTGCAGGGCATCAAACTAAGTTGTGAGCAGATAAAGTAGATGTGTGTGCTGGATGTGACAGTATCAGTTTCGTCACTCTCATGACTAATACATCCACAGCGGCCCGCACCACCTCCCCTTCCACCACCCCTCCGCCTCACTTGAGAAAGATCCAGTGATTGACAGATGAGATCAGACGAGTGGATTTAGCAGGGGAGATCTTTGCCTTCCCTCCATGGGATCTGAAATTCACACCCAGTGCACCCGAACATAACCTCCCCACCCACACATACACAATTCACACACCCTCCCAGATGACACACTGCCCCCAAGCCAGAGTGGGAGGTAGGTGTGATTTTTTTTGTGTGTGTGTGTGGAAGCAGACTGACAGCAGCATGTGGCTGCCACCCCCCCAAACTTCACCAGACGTTTTAGTTCCTTGTCTTCTTCCACCTCCACCGCCGCCTCGACCTCCTCCATCATAACCCATGTGGGCATGGCGGCCTCCCAACCTCCCTCTCCTCCAGCCAAAGTGGCCCCAGGACTGGTTTCAAGCCCAAACCCAAGCCCCCCTCCCTCCAACCCTCCCTGTAGCCTGGGCAATCTGAACCGGATCCAGTCCTGATGGCAGAGGTAGAAGAGGCAGATGCCTGGGCAGTGGGAGTAGGGCAGTGTCCATGACAGGACCGAGCCTACTTTATCATAGTTAGGAAGGAGTGAGGGCAAGGCATGAATATCACACACACACACACACACACAAACACACACAATGCAGAGTAAAGCAAGCTGCATCCGGCAAAGTTTGACTGTGTTCATTAATGAGGAAAGCAAAATGAAGAACTGACTGGTCTGAAATTGTAAGCATGAAGACATTTTGCCACAAGCTTCTTCTGCACAGAATATGTGTCGGATGATGGGAACAACATGTTGACAATTTTGGAGCATTGTAAAGTTTCTTCTGACGGTGGCACCAGAGCAAATTCCAGCCAGTGTCCAAAATGGAAAGGGGTCGTGTCTTGGGAGCATAATATGTACTCATGTCGTGGCAACCCATAAAACTGTGTATTTTAGGGCGCCCAGTTAGCTCAGTTGGTAGAGCTGGCAACCCATGTACAGAGTTGCTGCAGCGGCCCAGGTTCAAATCTGACCTGCAGCCCTTTGCTGCATGTCATCCCTTTCCTATCTATCTTTAGCTGTCACTATCCAATAAAGCCAATAAAAGGCAAAAACTTGTAACAGTGTATTTGAGGGTTTTTCCAGTGCATGGCTCGGCTCGACTTTCTTTTTTTCGTTTCTTCATTTCATTTCAATTCAATTCAATTCAATTTTATTTGTATAGCGCCAATTCATAACAGAAGTTATCTCAGGACACTTTTCAAATAGAGCAGGTCTAGACCGAACTCTTTAAAACATTATTTACAGAGACCCAACAGTACCACCATGAGCAAGCACTTGGCGACAAGGGCAAGAAAAACTGCCTGTTAAAAGGCAGAAACCTAGGACAGATCCTCCATTGTGGATAGTTCTGGTTACCTGGTTCAGATTCCAAGTATCATGCCTATCTGAATATCTGACCAGAAAATGCCAACCAAAGTTGGATGGGCAGGCAAACTGCTAGTAGCAACACACACTTTGAGATCATCCTCCTTTATGTCATTTACATCTAATGAAATATGATGAACCCACCAAATGAACAAGGATCTAACTGAAGATCTAATCATTTATATTTTGCAAATAAGTGTTTCTTTGTATAAAGTGTACACGCACAGTGCGTTGTCTCCTCCTTTGTCCCTTGGGTGGATGATGAGGTGAAGTTTTCTTCAGCACTGATGGAAGCAATAGGTCAGTGCTGGTTGTAATCATTCATCGCAGTCTGACATTATGGCTGAGCAATTAGGCAGGACAGTTGTGTACTTTACTAATGAACAATGGTTGAACGAAGCCTCCCTCAACACTCCCATCCATCACCCACAAACATTCCCCACTTCTCCAAGCTCACACACACAAACACACACCGCTGGCTCCCTAAATGATGAGCATCCACCTCACACACACATACACACGCACGCACCCTGCTGTTGCTGGGTTGTTGGAGGTGTTTCCACCGGTTTGATGAGTTTCTGGCCGATGCTCTCAGCCTCCCTGCTGAATGTGTGGCTGCCTCTCCTCCTCCTCCTCCTCTTCGTCTTTCCCCCTTGTCAACACAATCCCTCCATCCATCCTTCCCGAGGCCTGGGCCCGGCGGGGGCTGTTCCGCCCCTCGCAGCGTCCTCTGGGTGCTCTCTGCTTCTCCTCTGGTCCCCCTCCCACTGCACACACACACATACACATTTGTCTTTGGACACCAGTGAGGACCTTTGATTTACATCAGTTCTGTAAACTGTTCCATAGTTATGCATTCGGTATCAACTTTTATCTTATAATTTTTTTTATTTATTGACCTTAAACTAATTTAATCTAAACTCTAAAGTTTAGATTAAATGTTTTGTTTGTCAAAGTAATTTTCTTAACTTTCTATTTTTGCTTAGTTTACAATGCTTGGTTTACATGTTGATTGGTGGTACAAGACTAAAGACTAAGGCCTAGACTATCGGGGGATTTCCCATGATGCACTGAGCTCCTCTCTTCCTCTCTCTCTCTTTCTGCACTCATTCATGTTCCATTAATGCATGTTACTAACTTCACTTCTTCCCCGGAGTTCTTGTGCTTTCTCGTCTCGCAGGTTCTCATGGATCCTGGTGGAGCCTCCTGCCATGGTCCTGCTAGATTGCCATTGCTAATATCACTGATATTATTGTTATTATTATTATTATTACTATTATTATTACTACAGTTACTATTATTACTATAATCACTGTTCATTGTCCTCCATTGTTGTCGTCGTCGTCGTCGTCGTCATCATCATCTTCTTCATGTTCATCATCATCATTATCATTATCACCATCAGTCACTACTATTAGTGTAGTTGTTGCCACTGTTGTTGCTGTGCACCTTCGTCTATGTCTCTGTCCTTCTGTCGTTACCTCTCTCTCTCTCTCTCTCTCTCACCCCAACTGGTCAAGGCAGATGGCCGCCCACCTTTTCCTTGCCGCCGTCGCCAAGTTCTTGCTCATGGTGGGAATGTTAAATGGTAAATGGACCTGTACTTGTATAGCGCCTTTCTAGTCTTCCAAACAATTCCTAACTCTTATATGTCAAGAGTATGCTGTGCATACATCGTGTTGTATAGACAAAGATGAATGTATCGCAGCCTGCGCTGACTGGTTGCTGAAGACGTTCTCCTTTGATAAAAGCCAAGAGGCTGCTGGTACTCATTAGTGGAGAAGAGGAAGCAGACTGCTCCTCTTCCTCTCTCGAGTTGGCCTGCTTGTTGGAATGACACATGCCCATTCATTACCGGGGAAATAGGGAGTGAAGAGGAGGGGATCGCTTCTACAGGGCTCTTGTGGCTGTGCCAACTTTTGAGAAACAGACGACAGGAATGGAAGCGGGGAGCAGGCGAGTTAAGGCTCCGTGTATACTCCCAATGAAATCCAAATTTGGCTCCTTCACAAAGGCTGTCAAACTGCTGCTGAGTGTGGAGATGTGAGCAAATGTCAGCGCACTCATTGAGACTCCAGGTCTGTTTGTTTAATGATGAAGGAGCTCAAGAGTCTTGACGGGAAGTGACGCAGTGGGAGGACATGATACAACTGGAAATATGACACTGATGAACAACTGCAAAAGATGATGTATTTGGAGGCTGTGAAGACATATGTGCAAAAAAAATTAAAACTTTATTAATTTAATTTAGCTGGGCTACAAGGAATGCAACAAACCAGTTCATCCATTACAAAATGTATAGTTATTTTTTAAAACCTTCAGACTGTTAAAGGACCAGTGTGTAGGATTCAGTGCCATTTAGCGGTGAAGTTGCAGTTTGCAACCATTTGCATTTGGTAAATGTTATTTAAACAGTGCTTTTCTGGTCTACCAAGCACTCAAAGCACTTTACAACACACTCACAAACATTCACACTGCAAGGTTCCAGCCTGCCCTTCCTATCAAAAGAACTCACAATGATACTAAGATCAACCATACACACTCACACCAACAGCACAGCCATCAGGAGCAATTTGGGGTTCAGTATCTTGCCCATGGACACTTCGACTGGACTGGGTAGGGCATAGACGACCCATTCTAGCACCTGAATCACAACTGCCCCAGCTCTGCCTTCCGAGTGTGTAGGAGAAACCACAGTGTCTGTGAAGCTCGCAAAAAACATTAAAGGCCCCTATCTAGAGCCAGTGTTTGGCTTGTCCATTATGTAACATAACTTACGTACATACCTTATGTAATATGGGTATGTTGACCATCATAATGTCACCTGACTATTGCTACCATGACAACAAAGGTCACCTGACTTTTTCTTTTATTGGACGCCCAAAACTCTCTAACTGCATTAGTTAGCAAATGATATGGCAAAAGTTTAAAATGCATAGACTTCATCCCTGATGAGCCTAATTTCTATCTCTGAT